TGCTGGCAGGCCCAATCTCCCAGAAATACTAGTCACATATCTTGCAGTGAACCACACTGTGTCCACCACGGCCAAAAACTGTGGTCTAATGTCCAGGTGAAGAGGTCACAACCATATGCAATAGTGGATCAGTGCTCAGTTCTCAAGCAGATGTGCTCAATTTTTTTAGGACAGAGCAGGAAGCACGGTCCTGGTCTTTCATGTGCTCCTGCAAGGCAGACAGCATCTGAGCTCCTACATGAGGACTCTGCTCCACACAGACTGCCAGTTTCTGTTTTAGTCCTTGCTTGATCCTGAGAGTAGATAAGATCCTTCATAAACGGTGGAAGGCACCGAGGATGCTCAGCAACCTGTTATAGGTGGATCAACTTGATACAGAGGTAACCATGTAGAAGGGCTGTGGCTGGCTCAGACTGTCTGCCAGCTTAGTGAGCAACTGCTCAGAAGTAAAAAGGGTCAAAGGGAAAACTGAATAAGGGGGCATTGGGAATAAGCTTCTGCCATCGGTTAGGGTTACTACAGAGTACAGTGCCCCTCTAAGACTGATCCCAAAAATGTCCACTTTGGCAGCATTAAGACAAGCCTTTGAGAGATGATACAGCAACTCAGGATTCTATGCTCATGAGAAGACAAAACTAGAGAGCTTATTTGCTCATCCACTCCCACCATGAGGATGTCCAGCCAGGACCAATTAGAGAAATGAGCCAGCCATAGATATCAAACCTGCAGTGCCTTGATCTTGGACTCTCAAACTGATTAAAAAAAAAAAGTTCTTTGTAAATTATAGTCTCAGGTTTTCTGTTATAGCAACATGAGATGTACAAGTTGTATATCTATAGATTTATTAAACTTAATATGGATGAATTCATGAGGCATAAATTGTACAACATAGCTGTCAATAAATAGCTGTTGGGTGTTATCATTAAGGAATTATTCCTTAAATACATGTGAGCACAAAGATAAATAATTTAGGATCCATCTCTGTTCCAGTACAGGATGACACACTAAGTGTCTACCACACTGGATGGGACAAACGACCAAAGGAAAGCTGCTGTTCCTTACATCTGTTGCAACTGCAGTAGCAACCACTCACAAGTGGCTCATTAGTCAGTGTACAGGACAGAGCAAAACATTACCTCTGCCAATCTCAGGTGCAGAATAGCAGTTTCTGTTTCCAGTTTAACTATCCTCTCTTCTTTAACCTACAACCAAGGATTGAAAAGGAAAATCCGTCAACGCAGCACTTACCTGCCCATACTGAAATACTGTGATTGAACAGAGCACAAGAAACGGTAGAAGTAGGTCAACTGTCAGGCTGCTCAAACTCCTTCGCATACTGCAGAGACAAGACAAGCTGGCCTCAGCAAGGCCTGGCCTGCTACCCATCCACACTCTATGGCTCTGAGCCCCTGCTAGCACTAGCCCCAAGGACTACCAGGGATACAAGTCTTAGACCCCAGACTCTTTGTCCTTTGGTCAGTAAGATATCAGAGGGGCCTAGCTGGGAAGCAGAGTTTATAGAGAAAGCCATAGAAACAGTCCAGCTTTAAAAAACAAAACCAGACCTACAAAGTCCCGTGTGTGTGTGTGTGTGTATGTGTGTGCATGCATGTGTTCAGGTCCCCGTGCGTGTGCACACAGGCAGACACTCAGAAGACATTGGTAGTCTTGGAAAGTCAAGGACAGAAAAGTATTTTATGTGAAGATGAGATGGTGGGGAATAGAGGTTGGATGCTGGAAGCTAGAGCAGGGTGGGATTTTATAAGCCAAAGGAGTGAAACGCATATTTAACTCCCATAGACAGCTGGGCCAGGTGCAGTGTTCCTCCTGGTGCTCAGTGTTCCAGCTGTGGATTCGGGGAACTCAGAACATCATGCTGAAAATAGACTCTCAGACTAAAGATTCAATATCCCACTGGTGCTTCAGTCTCTTCAAAGGAATTAAGTCCCTCCTTCTAGGGATCCCGTCATTGTCACCTGCAGAAGATTCAGTCCTTCCTTTTATGGGTCATTTCTGAAGGAGATTTAGACCCTATTGAAGGGAATTCTGTCTCCAGATAGGGAGGAAATCCCTCCTGGCAGGGAATTAATTCTCCAAATCTTCTCACAGACAATCTGTGATCACCTGGGGACAGCATTTTCTGTACTTCTAAACTCTGATTGGTAACGGAAACCCAATACCTAGGAGTTGTATAGTGTGAATTGTATTTAGCTCAATATGAAAATCTTTATAATATTTTGAAATTTACTTAATTCCTAGATTTCAAACAGTAATAGTAGCTGTAGTTGTAAGTTTAATATGAGTTTGGTCAAATTTACTTCGAAATATTTTTTATTTTGTTTTAAAGATGGTGGTCTACATGGGATTTTCTCCTAGCTTTACTTTTCTTTTTTGCTAGGATACAGAAACGCTTTATTTCTGTTGACAGAGCTGGTATTCATCGACCTTGTATAACTCACATTTTAGTGTAGAAATCTTACCAGATTGCTTAGGGGCTCTTCTATTTATCACGTGGTTCCACCTTCAAGTAGATCTAGTGGTGTGTCAGGACCGACTGGGACTAATGTCCTGACAGCTAAAGAAGGTGGTCTTTGCCCGTGACTCCAAGAAGAATGTTGTTTCTATGTCAACCAATCTGAGAGAGAAATAACATCCAGGAGCTACAGTCAGACATACAGAATTTCAGGGAATGTGAGGCCCCCAGTTCTGGGATTTTTCAAAACCGTATATGGAAGTGGACACTCCCTTTCGTAACACCTTCCCTAGTCATCATCTTGGTGTTATTATTCGCTCCCTGCCTCATTAATCTTGTTTCTACATTTCTTCAATGACAAATACAAAAAATTTCTAACCAAACTGCTAATCAGTTCCTGTTACAGGGTTACCAGCCCCTGTCCACAGAGGAGTCTGATGCAAACGTTTACCAAGTGGACCCTGATAGTGAAAGTCAGCTACAATGCAAAATTGACAATGCCCCTACACAGCAGGGAGCAGTTTAAGATACACGACACCCCTATTCCCTTTTCAGTTGCCTTCCCCCTCCCCTTTTTTTTCTCCTCTTTATAGTAAGAAAAAGGGAGTTATCAGGCTTGGCAGATCATCTCCGAATCCAGTGACGCCACTCACAGGCGACAGGGACCTCCCCCGACGCACATGTTGCCATGGTAATCACCATACGTTCCCAGAACCCACTTGGCTCACCTCCCACCTTAACCTGCAACCAGTTAAGTCACAATCGAAATAAAAGGCAGACCCCCCTGACCTCTGCCCTTTCTTTCTCCCTTTCCTCTGCCGCCACCTTTGCACTCTTCCCCACAATAAACCTCCCATGTAGAACTGTATTGGCCTGGTGTGGTCTGTCCAGATGCCGAGCTGCGATTCTAACACAACGAACACAAACACTGTAATTCCAATATATAAATTCTGGTTCTTTCAATAATGTTCCCCACAAGTTCCTTTAACCTCAGATATGCCTTCCCTTCCTTAAAGTTCCTTCGCATTTTTACAGGACACTGCTTAGTGTCATTCTTTACCATGTAACAGTACTCAAAGTGAGTCCCTGTTCATCTGAAACTGCATATCCTTTGACTAGCAACCCCCCGACGCCTTATTCCATTTCACCCAAGCCCAGAGATTTAGACACCGCTTTTCTCCCTGCTAAAGCAGAGTAGGCATGAGGATGAGGGGACACCCCATCTCACTCTCCCTTCCAGCCTGCTGGAACAGGTCAGTGTACCTTGTGACACCACAACAAACCATACCCTCATTCCAGCAATCTTGAGTGGGTTCTTACACTTACGATGTGTATGACCAGGAGACATTTTAGGCAATGTGCATGTCGGTGGGTATATTCAGCGAGTCCAGGGACTAGGATGGAGCAGTGAAAGGCGACATGGTCCCAGTGGTCATTTGGGATACTGAATGCATAAGGGGCAGACTTGAAGACAGAGGTGACCCAATTCTCACAAGGGACACTTGTGAAAATGCCACCCTAGTCTTCAGATGCTTACATCATCAAAGAGCACTTTCCCACAGACAGAAAGACAACCAAGGGACAAAGGAAGGAATGACTCAGCAGTTTAATGAAGGAGTGACAGATGGACCTGGGGAAGTGGAATGCTGGCATTACAAATATAAACTTTGTCAGCACTTTGAAAACAATAGCAAATACACTTAAATAGATACAAAGTTTATTAAAAATAGGCTGCAACTGAAATACAGTAGAATTGGGAATCAACAGCAGTTTGGGTGTTTCCCACAGTCATACACACTATTCAGTGTCTCTTACAACATGTATTCACATCTGAGCTCACTGTCCAGGGATGGCCAAGTCTACTTCACTATGGGTCTCACAAACACACATGCAGAGTTTTCAGATGCTTGCTGGTTCTTCTGTGCATCTGTCTTTCCATGTACTAGTGACAGCAGGGACCTGCTCTTCTTTGGGAGGTATGATTATGGCACCCAAAGGCTGCCAGTGTGCTCCAGACACAAGGAGATTGCACTTCCTAGGCAAGGCAAGTGTGCAAATCCTTCATCGACTCTCAGGGTCATCCTATTCTCTTACAATGGAAACAGCAAAGACACACTTTCAAATAAGAAACTAGATAAACATAAAAAAATATTTACACTTGTATTTCAACAATTTATCATACAGCTCTTATGAAAAGTGGTTTTTCGGGTTGCAAATACCTCTGTTCTATTTGAAAGTGTGCATATTTTCCTGATGCACAGATTTGTAAGAGAATAGTATGATACAGAAAGATCATCTGGATCCACATAATAGGGTTCTCAAATAGAAAGTGTGCTTCAAATCATAAAGTCAGCTTTCACACAAAATAAGCAAACTGAGGTCTGTCTCCTACAACTCAGCTGAGGAATGACAGTGCAAAATTCAGGAATTAAAATTAAATAACTCTATTATGCTGAGAAAGAGATGCAGACTCAACTGCTACAAGTGTTCTTATAGCATGTATGTCACAGGAGGCACAGCAACACACTTTCCTGACAGTGCATCTAAATCTCTTTACTAAGTTTACAATTCCTGAGACAGCTAAGTTTGCCTGCCACCCATGAGCTCCCACTCTTCTCAGATGTCTTTGCTCCTACCTACATGAATGCTATGTAATTAGAGAGATCAAGATCCTTTGAAACCTCTGAAATATTAGGTAACTTTCTAACATAACTGTTATCTTTAATTTCCAACAGTGATTAGTTTAATGATGATTTGGTATTTATTAAAATAAAATCCTTAGGATTAAATTCTCAAAATTTCTTGTGATTTTTCAAAATTGTATTATCAATTAGATATTCAATCTCAAACATTTAAATTGATCAGGAGGCTCACATTGGTCAAGAATGATGTGTTGTGCACCTTACATAAGAAACTCCATCTAGCCGCCTCATGCAAATTATAGAAGGTAAAGGCAGCATTTGCCCTGGGCTGAGAGGCCTGTCTCCTGCAGACAGGGTCCACAATGACACAGAAGTGCTCTGAACTGCTCAGCTGTCACTGTCTGGTAGCCAAATGGAGTTTAGAGCAAGAACAGAAAGATAATTTCTTGGCCTACTGCCCTTGGAATGACAATGGGAGAAGATAGATAGGGTGGAGGAAACACCCCGTATCTTTACAGCCCCTCATTCTGCCCTGTGAGTCCAACCTCCCCACAAAAGCTAACAATAAAAGGTAACTTCCCGTGAGTCAGATCACTAAGAACTAGGCAGGATTTTTCTTGGTAAAGTAAAACAAAGTTTCTTGGAATTGGAACATCTCCAAATTGCAACCATTTCAGAAACAGAAATTAAACATCACTTAGAAGTGGAATTGTTCCTTCCTCTTCAGGCTCTATCACACAAATCCCCTGCCAAGGGCAGACCTGCTTGAGTACAGGTGTCCTCTCTCTTCTCACTTGGTGTTCAGTTCATTCTCAAGCTCTGTTAATTTACGAGAAGCTTTCACTTTGTCAGACACATCTTGCCCTTGTGAAAAGAGGCGCTGACGCTCCTTAAATGTCAGGTTTTCAGGGGCTCCAGAACTGCCAGGTAAGTCTGCATCTTGGCTGGACAAGAGGAAAACACAAAAGATTATCCATCTAAATGCAAGTAACTAGCCTAAGTAAACTTTCATAAGGAGTGTAACGTTTCAGTGAGACTTGTTCATTGTTGAACATTACTGCAGTAATTTTATGTATTGTTGTTGAGACAAACTACACCTACACTATGGTCTGAACAGAACTTTAAAAGGCCAGTCTGTGCTCATACAACTAAATGTAAGTTCAAAGTAAAGGGTGGGGACATTGGCGCAGGGCTATAACCAACCTGGAGCAAAAACTTCTTATTAAAACTTAAAAAAAAAAATCAAAAGAGTAATAAACCAACAAACAATTCCATGTAGAAAAGGGGCAAAATATTCTCTTGACAGTGACTTCCAAAAATGAGTAAGGGGACTAGAGATGGCTCAGTGGTTAACCAGAGATCTCATAAACACTAGGAAGACGTGGCAGCCTGCATAGCCATCGAGAGACCCTCTTTCAATGAGTTGAGTAATTTGAGGATAATTTCTGTCAATCTCAGGCCTCCACATGCATGAACATACACAGAAGTGTTTGTGTATCTGGTAACACCCGCCCACACTAACAACGGGAAAAGAAAATGACAAAGCCAGTGAGTTCAATTTCAGTAAGCAAGCAATGCTTGGCAGCTAAGCAAGTTTAATTATGGGAGTAGTTTAAAAATACAGCACTTCCACAAATCTTTCCCAATCTAAGAGAGTCAATATTAAGAGTCAGACCAGCATTGACTAATGGAATTCAATGTTACAAGATCAGAGGACATCTAAGATGATCAAATGTCTAGCTAAACCACAGAGGGGACCAGTCTGTGCTAACAAGAAGTCTGAACTGGCAGGCCTGGCTGTCATGCCTCTAGTAGTTTAGTCTTCAGCAGGTCCAGTACGAACACCTCAAACAGAGCCAAATTAGCAACATCAACTTGAAAACAGCCTACATGTACAGGTATGATTCACACCTGACATCAAAGTACTAGGGACACCCAAGAATGCTGCTCACCAACAGCGTAAGGCCAGCCCAGCTACATAGTAAGTTCTAGACCTACAGACAATGGGAGGAAGAGAAAGAGGCAGGGACAGACAGACAGAGATGCAGACAGACAGTATATTCTCACGTGATTTTGTATAATAACAAACACCCAAATCCTGATAAAGTCTGACACAATTCAGCAATGATATGAAAATGAGAACAAACCACCACAGGTTAGACCCAGCTCAGCCCAGCCCTAGTACCTTCTAGTGTGTTTCTCTCTTGTGTCCCGAGGAGCATCAAAGGCTCCAGCAGCTGTGTTAGCAGATCCAGAATAAGAGTTTGGTCCTTTTCCATAGGGGAAAAAAAAAGTCCAAGTTAAACTATTTAATTATCTCTTAACTTTAGTCATGTTAGAGTGTCTGCAGAAAAACAAGATTCCCTTAATTATTGAAGAAAAAAACCCAAGAAATCAAAGGCTCTTTATATGCTCAAAGTTTCATTAATATAAAATTCACTACTCTTTGTGGCCTAAGTAATCCAGTCACTATGTTCAATAACTTAGAATAGAAAGGCTATAATGTATCTAACTTTAAAAACCAATAAAATCAAAATAAAAACATTAGGACCTTCCAACTAAAAAACAAGGCACGATAACCATAAATACAAAAGACAAACCCACAGAAGACTTACTTAAATGGGAGAGTTAAGCAAAAATGTTTAGACATACTCGTCACAATGTAACCCCAAAGTTTAAGAGGCAAACCTACATCTATAATTAGAGCTCTTTTGTAGAGGATAACCTCTAGATTTCTTTTTCAAGATAGATGTAAATTATTAAAAGTAAAATAAAGCCTTTTAAACAAATGGGCTATCAAAACTAAGCTCAAATAAAATTCCTAACATTCTGTATTAGAGCTGCTGATAAAAAAATTCCTTAAAAAAACAACAAGTGGAGGCTGAGTTAAGTTGGCCCTGGGCAAGCACATCTGTCTTAATCAAGAAACCGCAGCAGAGCTTGACGCTCACATTTGCCAAAACTTCAGGAGGCATTAAGAGATGATGCAAATAAAGCTTTACCATATATCCAAGTCTACAGTAAAGCTCTAATACAGAATACCTCTGTCCTATTACTGTATCTGTTGTAACATCACAAAATATAGTAAGGGGCTCAGCAGTTAAGAGTAGTTATTGCACTTGCAGAAGCCCAGGGCTAGGTAACCAGCTTACATCTATCCCAAGTTCCTCGTGACTCAGATATACATGCATATAAAAACTCATGAAATCATATTTATATCTGAAAAACAAGATTATAATGTATAGAATACGAAAGACTCAGAATATTTGGCAAACAAGGACAAGATTGGATTCAATAGGCCACAAAATTATCACCATGTTTTCAGATTACAAAACTCCTTTTTAGACAAGAGAAAGGAGAACAAATTTTCTTCCATAAAAAGAGCCTATGGTTTGGATTTGTTGGATGTATTTGGACAGAGCCTAGTAGCCTACAAATTGCAATCTCAGAGGATGTCAGCTCCAGCAAAGACTCTCATCTATCTCCTGAAAATGTACAGTGGGCTCTAACATGGTATTTGCATAGTTGGTCTCAATTCCCAACCTTACATTCATTTGACTGAAATTAAGAACAGTGGTTTGTACTTTTGTGCTTTGCTCAGAGTGACACTGATTTCTTCCATGGGCAAATCTTTCAGGGTATTTTGTTTGTTATAACATTAGAACTTGGAGCTGACTATGTATCTCATTCATATATATATATTTCCATTTAAGACAAACTTAGAAAAAGTTTTAGTGAAACAAACACATCATTTAAAGACATCCTATCACCAAAATTCAGTCTCCATCATTCCAACTGCATAAGCGCTGTCTCATGTGAATCTCTGGAAGAGTCCAAGTCCCAACTGCAGGAGTATGCTTCATTAGAGAAAAGCCAGACACAGCACAGGAAAGAGATGAACAAGACACAGAGCTGCTGCATGTGAGCAGGTGGCTCCACAGTGGAGCTTTAGGTGTGACGTGCAGTTAAGATTGGTGGTATGACTGGGGGCTGACCTCCACAGGTGTGGTCCCTAACTGTAATGAGACTATAGAGTTTGTCCTGACAGTTATAAAATATATATAATACAACTATGAAATCTGATATACAGTCAACAGAAATTTGCTTCAAAATCTATTGCTATTCCATAAATGCCTTGAAAGAGCACCAAATTCTCAACATTGATAACAGAAAGTTTATAAAAAGACTAGATTTGGGCTTTTGGAATGATTGAATAATATTGCATACCTATTCTCCAAAATAGATTAAAAGATTCTGATACAGGTGGGGGAAAATGTCATTATTCTAGCAGAAGTCCTCTGTTGTGTGGAGGAAACAAACCTTGCTGAGTCAGCCTCTCAGAACTGCCAAGTTCACGCTCATGTAAAAATCTCACAGAAGTCTACTCACTAAAATTAGACTACTGGATGCTCAATGTCAGAATTCTATTTCATTTAAGGCCAAGATAGTTTGAACTCTCAATCTAAATTTAACTGAGCTACATCTTCTGCTTACTACATTTCTGTGGGCATCTCCTGGGCTCTGTCATTAACAGGGGAAGCCCTGCTCTCAGCAGTCAGTCAGGAGGGTTTAATTACGAGAAACTGCAAGCCTATGCAGGTCTGGATACTAGTGTACGAGGTGCAAGAGAGCAGGACAGTGAAACTGAATGGGGGAAGTGAGAGGGAAAGAGGAAGAGCATGAAGATGAGGATCCGTGAAGAGGGCTTGCCTGCGTTAGGTAGTGAAGACTTACTGTTTGTTAGCTACTTCACTACATGATCGAATATCCCACCAAGCTTATACAAGGATTTTGAGTCACTGCATAGGCCTCAGGAACAGAACCACATGTACTATTCACATTAAATGATGTAAATTTAAAATGCAGCTGGAATCATGTTTGAGAAGGCACTTGTTTGACCAAAAGTAAGAATTACTTTTATAGGTACAGAAAAAAAGCCAAGACCAACAGTACTTCAAATAATTTGGTGATAGTGGAGGACTGACTGTTGTCAGTGGATTAACAAGATGGAATACCTTCAAATAGAAAAGAAATTGGAGACGAAAGGCTAAATTTAGAGAGGATTAGCACACACATCACCATCAGAGGCAGAGGGAGATCACATGCTGAGAGTGATCAGATAAAACCCAGAGCCATGGCAGGCATGGTCTCCATGTACCATGCCAAGTGGCAGGGGTACAGAGATTCCAGGCTCAATCATCAAGGACAGAGAGGTCTGATTCAGCATTCCCCTTTTACCTTGACCTTTCCAGTGGCCAGGACGATACAGGCTTGGTTTGCCTGGCAGGGGTTGGGGTTGGCCTGCTTTGTAAGCAGTACTGTTGGCTTTGGCCAAGGGTGGCTGGAATGAGTTGAAGAGAGAGATGCCATCTGAGGCTGGGCGTGGCTGGCACGGGGGCTGCTGCGGCTTAAGGTTAGCAAGAGGAAGGTGACCATGAGACTTCCTAGTGCTGGGGTACTTATCCTGACCTGCTGGGCCGTAGTCCTCCTCCTCATCATCATCATACGCAACAAACTTGGCAGTGAACAGCGAGTCTGAGGAGAGGACCTGTGTTTTGAGGTAGGAGGCGTTTCGCTGAGGTGGGGGAGGAGGGGCACTGGGTGCTGAGGACAGGGATGGGGGCTCGTAGTCCCGTGGAAGTGGAGGTCGGCTCAGCCCAGGTTCTTCGGGCTCCAGCAACCTGCGTGCTGCCTCTTCGTGCTGTCTGCGCCTCTCAGCTTCTAGGCGGCTGTAATACCCTTCTTCCTGTCGCCTCTGCAGGCAGGAATAGACAAGAGTGCAAAAGGTCAAGGTTCAGAAGGATCAATGGACCCTTTGTGCCTTCACAGGGAATGACAGGTACCCTGATCATCACTATCCATCACCAAACCAACATGTCCACAGGACGTGTTTCAGTGTCACAACTGAGAGCCTCTTGTCTCAAGACTTATAAGAACACCCACACTGGCCCACACTGACAAGAGCTGATCAGAAGCATGGGATAAGTCAAATCTTCCATTTGTACAATTAGATTTAGGATCATCTACATTTTTTATTCCTCCTTTTTCCCTGGAAATTTTTGTCTACTTCTCTGTTTGGACAGGATATTAACTTACCTGTTTCTGCTGTGTTTCAAGAGGAAACCATTAACAATAAGAAATATCACTCATTTTCCCACAGCCACAATCTAACAAGTATGCTTTCCACAGTTAATGTATGTTTCAAATCTTAATAAACTCTCTCAGGAACAGAAAATGGGAGCCAAGCATTAAGAGTATTAGAAGATATATTCTGACATACAACTGTACATTTTCATCAGGCAAACTACAGTTGACAGTATTGAAATTCTTTAACATTTAAAAAGGCAACAACACAGTTTTGTTAAGGATTGACAAGAGTTTTAGAGCACAAGAAGGAAGTAAATACGAAAAGTGACGAAAGAGGAAAGAAAACAATCTGCCTTTACTTAAGCAAATGTTCAAGTGCAGCCAGGTTTGAATTCATGGAACCATAGAGACCTGACACCAGGAACTGTGCTGATGTCGTGGTTCTTGGTCTCTACTATGATACATTCTTTCCCTGGTCCCTCTACACCTACACACAAGCACACACAGTGAACATACAATGCTCCCAGCTTCATATTCTGAGAAAGAAAGAGGAAGACTAAAGGCCAGATCTGATCATTACCCTGGCCCCAATTTCCAATTTACTTCTTGTTTCATATTGTAAAATCCTAAAGGAAAGAATTTTTATCCTCTTGACTATACAAAATCAGTACTATCTTAGGTTGGGTAATTAAACTACGATGACTTCGGTGGCTTTTAATTGGCACTATCAAGAATGTTAAAATTACATGAAGAACAGATGCTTGGATAACACTGTAGGGAGACACCAAACAAACCTTGTTCAGTTACACCAAGAGCAGATACAGTTAAATGACCATGGTGACTTTATCCAGAAAATGAATGCACATGTTCCATAACAGATCAAAGCCATTAATTGTGGACATTCTGTAGTAAAAATAGTATCTCAGTTTCTTTTTTACATTGACTACCCAATTATAGAAACAGTTACTAAAACACAAGGATATTTGACATAATTATGAGTTATGAGAACACATATTGGAAAAATTAAATAACAGAGAGTTTCTCAACATAGAAAGCACAGCCTGCTTCTCTCTGGACATACAACTCTGATGCAATGACCAGGCTGTTTCATCCTGGTAGCTGGCCAGCCCTGACCTGGGAAAGCACCTCTCTCTGCAGCCTGAGGACTCTCGGACTACAAAGCAAGACCACCATAACTTAAAAACTGCATGGCTCCCGTGCTGGGTACTTCCTGATTCCTGCAGAGATCACCACTTTCCACTTACATTACACACAGTAAAGGCTCGTGGTGAGCTGATCCTAGAGACTCCAAGTCTCCAGAACTGCTGCTGTAACAGAGTCACTGCTTCCTATGTATGTGTGGCTGCACACCATCCACTCTACCTTCATTTAAATGACCCACATCATGTCTATCAATCATACTCTTAGATTGTCTTGTGACCAAATCATTGCTCTCATTAAAAAGAACTTCCTTGAAATTACTTTTAACTTTTTGTTGGGGAGGGGCTGTTCCTATTTACACAGTTCACTGGGACTATCAAAGAAAAAACTATTCATAAAAACTAAACTTTTCCCCTTCAGTAGTGACACTCAGAACTTCTGACTTCATGGAAGGGAAGCAACTGAGAAAAATAGCATCGCTCAAACCACACAGCAACATACAATCCCTGGGGTAGGGCAGAGCTGACCTGGACTCAGGGTAGCAGCCTCGTCACCCAGTAGAACCTCAGCCTCAGACACAGATGCAGAGAGATCCTAGAACTATACCTTAAGTTCCTGCTTTGTGGAATGTCAAAATCAACTATCTTTTTAAAATTCAACTATGGAAAGTATCTGAGTTAAAATCCACATATAGAAATAACCAGAATGTTTGCTGGGTTGCATTATTAATTTTGTGTGATTTTTACAAGCCATCATCACTCTTTATCACCAATCAGAATTAAGAGATTTTAGTAGATCATCCATTTGGAATGGCTAATGAGAACTGATTGCCTTCCATGTTACTATTGCCTCTCACAGAACTCACACAATTCTCACAATAACTTTAGTACCTTCATCAAAGCCACCTGAACCCTGTCTGGGAAGACCAGAGCAGTATCATATCCCATACCCCTTCCTCAGGGACATGGTGCTCAAGAATTTGAGGGAGACCAGCTCAGAAGGCAAGGGAGCCTGAAGACAGTCCAGAAGAGAGGTAGGCAGGCCAGATGGGGCTAGAGGTTTGGTCCAATAGCAAAAGTTGAAAGAAGCGGCCCTGTTCTGTCTTGTGTATCCTAGATACACATAATTTCTAGCCCCCTTTGCCCTAGCCAAGCATTTGTGTTCAGGCTAATTTGGTAAAACCTAGCGGCCTTTAGAGGACCATAACCTTTTCTTCAGCATCTCTCTTTACTCGCTCCTCCTCCTGATGGCGTCCATCTTCTTCTTGTCTTACTCGATCTTCTGCTTCTCGTTTGCGAATCTCTTCCAACTGTTGCTGGCGCCTGCGCTCCTCATCCTGCATCTAACAGCAAACAGAGTTTAATTTTCACCCAGTCAGCCCCACCAGCACAGACCCAAAAAGCACATCCTGAGACAAGCAGACACAGACACACACACACACACACACACACAGACACAGAAAGTCAAGTAGAAAACACCAGGCTAAATCACTGTGGGAGGGTGGTAAAGCTCATTATTAATTCACTCTTACCATTTCAAAGTAAGTTACCTAAATGCTCTGAGTCCAAGTCCCAGTGTTATTCTTCTATTAATCATGACTCAAATAAGTTATTCTATACATTCATGCATTAATCAAGCATGATTCTTGCTCTAAAATAAATTTGTGAGCAACCTCCTACAAATCACCAACTACATTAAATCACCAACAACTACTATTAAAAACTACATAATATGATTAACCATCCCAAGTGTTAAAAAATTCCTCTTTCTCCCGGGATGTGAGTGAGACTTGCACCTAAGCACAAGGAAGCCTATCTTGAATCCAGCCTCAGCTGGGAGCTGTTAGGGACAGCCTACCTTACTTGGGAGCAGTTTAGAAGTCTAGGGCTCCTCCCCTTCTAGCAATTCTGTTCCCTCCATATGTCAGCCTGGACTCTGGGAGTCTCTTCTTAGCCTCACATGATCTCAGACTTGCAGGTAAGAGTTGGGACTCATTCTGGCTCATTTCTGACTATCACACATATGAGGACCACCGATAACTCCCCTACACAGGATGGTCTGCTTTAGGTGATAGCTAGTTTAAAAGCTCATGTGCTGGTCCCAAATCCATCTGCTGATGCTTCTCTATTTCTGGTCATTAAGTTCTACCTTTCTGAAACAACATATGATCCAACACCTTCCCTTCCCTGTGTCCAACACTACCAGCCACCTTCAGATACAGGTGACATGCTTCTCCTTGTTTGTTGTGGCTCCTTCAGCCTCCTGACCATATTCCTCAGCATCACAAGTTTTAGGTTAGGATAAAGACTCCCCTCTATCCATCCTGATCTACAGCTGCGTCTCTAGTTTTGTCACAAACAGTGGGGACACTGAAATGCTGCACAGATCTGTGCTGTGGGGAAGAACCTATAGCAGCGCTGGGATATGTGACCACGAGGACTGATTCAAACTCTCCATAATTTGAATCCCAAAATTATACTGCTGACCTCTAGCTACTGGAGGAACTCTTTATATTGAACAGATTCCTGTGAGATCCAGTTCAAGGTCCATGAACATCAGTTTGCCTACACAGTGTTTATAGTAAAACTATTTACACTTCTGAATTTAGATTGTATGTGTATGTTTAAAAAAATATGCACAAAAAAAATCTAAAAATTTTATTCCTTATTTTCAATGGAACAAAACACTAGCTTTAGGGCTGGAGTGACTTTCAGCAGTCAAGAGCTCTGGCTGCTCTTCTAAAGGGTCCAAGTTTGATTCCCACAAAACTTGAAATTGTGTTTAACTTCAGTCTCCAGCATCCGAGGGCACCAGGCATGGACATATATGCAAGCAAAATATTTAAATATATAAAATAAAAAATTTAAATCTCTACTATATCCAGTAGAAAAGAATAAATTAGCCTGTGTTGTTGGGGTTATTGAGGTTTAAATAATAAAATATCCCAGGAAAGGTGTCTTCTCAAAAAAGATAAAGGAAGTTAACTTTTTTTTTTTTTAAACATAAGGTAGGCACAAGTCCAAACAGAGGTTGGGATTTAGGGTGGATTTTATAGCAGGCATAGACACTGCTACTAAAGAACCAAGATACAAAGGGACAGAGAAGAAAAGGTATTCCCTGAGGACGTCAATGAGGGGGCTGCAGGCCACTGTGCACACCCCAGAGCCAACATCAAAACAAAGAAAGCATGATAGTTAGGAAGAAACGGAAGAAGCAGAACCCCACAAGAGCAACAAAATCAAATAGCCCAGGAACCATCAAATGCTCAGAGAAGGCAACTTACAGGCAAAACCAAAGCTACAGTTGCCTTTCTCAGAACTCAGCTCTTCCTGTTACTCAGCAGGAGAAGCAGACAGTGCTGTCTCGGCACTGTGCAGACAGTGGTTTAGCTAACTAGTTCAATCACAGTGCTCATAACTGTAAGTACAATTGCAGGCTCACAAATGTGACAAAAGATGTTTTCTCTTAAAAAAAAAAAAAAAAAAAGGTTCTACATTCTCCCAGCTGGTGAGATGGTTGTCTAGGGGTCTTCTGTGTGTATTTAGTTCACAGGCTACTATTTTTCTAAAAAGACAAATTAACTAGAGCTATATAACTGTAACATTTTCCTATTGTTTAGTAAATTGTATGTTTCTTACTTTGAGGTTTTTCGTTTTGTTCCTTTAAAATATTTTACCTCTCTTCTCCTTTCCGTGAGCATTAGTTGGAGAGGTAGGCGGTTTCTTAACTTCTTCAAAACACAACTCAAGACAGGACACTGAGCTGTAAGGCTTACAAGCCTCCAGTAACAGAGAGAGGGCATCTTCCACATCAGTCTCACTGCTCTGACAAGCTGCCTAACGCAGTGAAGCAGGGTGTCTGCATCCCTGATCGAGGCCAGCAAAAAAGCCTTGCAGGCTCTGTACCAGTCTGTATTTCTAAAAGGTGCTTTCAGGTCAAACAAATACTTCACCTTGAGACTTGTGTGTTCACAACTTCACAAAAACATACTAAGGATGGTATTATTATTAAATTATCAGCCAAATAAAACAGGATCATGACAGCCTTTACTTTTTGACATCTGAAGTTTGCTAAAGTCTAAAGAATTTTTAAAAATCCTTTTCCAGTATAGTTTTTTTTCCTAAAACTCAACCCCAATTTTAAGACAAAAGTATTAAAAAACTTGAAAGCTAATGCTTTCAAGTTATTACGGAAGATGTTCTGAACTGCCTGTAGTCAGTCCTCTGGTATTCTAGGACCTGGGTTTAGAGATTCGATCTGCAAAGGACCAGCTATTCTTGCCTAAGAGAAAAGCTCTACGTGTAGCATCAGGGTTTGTTAGAAAACAATGACCCATCTAACAGTGGTAAAGAACATTAACAAAAAAATACCTACAAAAACACACATACATTCCTCTTAGTAGTTTTCTTGAAGAAATATGAATTCTAAGTTCTAATTCTAAAAGACAGAGGCCCCATGCAGGGCAGAAAGACTAAGAGGTCCAGGACACATCTGAATCCTTTCTTTGAGGGCTAATACTCTAAAATTAGGCTTGAGGTACTTAAGACAGATCTTGATTCAACCCTTCTACACTTTGGAGACTCAAAATCTTACGCCCGAGTACTTCCTGTACAAAGGTCAAGACAGCAGCATAGCCCATGAGGGAAGGCCTAACAGTGTTTTGACTAATTAGAAGAGTCACTGAAATCTCTGGAAAGAGATTTCTCTGGTGAGAGGACACAGCTAAGACAAGCTTTTGAGGGAAAAGCCAGCCCAGGGAGTATCTAGCTGATAGCCCGGAAAGTCACTTAATAAAAAGGAAGTGCTTTTGATGAAGCAGAAATATAGATAATGTGACAGAAATACTGGCCAGAGAGCAAAGCCACGCTGGCTCTATATGGGAGACGATAAATGCTCACACACTGGGTCTGGAGTTTTCCTTGGTAATGGAAGATTTCTTATGAAGAAATGTTATATAATCAAGAGGCTTAAACACAGCTATTACTAGATGAACAAGGACCAGCTTCTACAGCTCAACTGGTAAACCCAGCAGTGAACAGTGGGTAGTGAAGCAGCCAGAGCAGGAATGTGGGCATGGCAGTAGCTTCTGAAGGGTGAAGTGTGCCGATAAGGCTGTAAAGCTCAAATGAATACGAGAATAACTTGGAAACAAGGGGGCATAGGGCAGGTGTAGAGACAGAGTGAGCTGCAGAGAAATGGGCACAGAAGGAGGAATTTTGTTTTTGCAAGGGCAGAATTCTGAAAGCTGGATCTTGCCACCCGGAGGAGATAGGATACAGGCATGTTGGTAACCAATCTTACTATGAAAGAGGGCAAGACTAGAGCCATGAATAAAATGTCACTGGCATCATTACTATCTTAAAGTTATGGACCGAGAAAAGGCACTAAAAGGCGGCAGGAGGCTGGCCTGAGGTGGCATCCGGCCACCAGGAGCCCTGAGGGAAGATTGGGAACCAGTTTAGGCAGTCCTTCCACCTCATGGAACCTGGCTGCTCCTAACATGATAAAAGTCTGCCTCACTGATCCAGGAGTCACCCCAATCCATCCTGTGATAATGCCACCCCAATCCATCCTGTTATAATGCCAAGAACATGTCTGGAGACTACAGGGCAAACTGCTACCCAGAGACAACGCTTGCCACTACCCACTACTTCTTAGGAAGAAGTTCCCAAGAAAACCTGCAAATTCTGACATGTTAAAACTTCTATGAATAATGCATTTTTGCTAATATTAATACTTAATACTAATAATATTAATACTTGGTGATACTATTATTTAGTATTAATAATTGATACTAGGAAACTGGGATTAAGTGCATAGAAACAGTGGTTAATAAATTGTTAACACTGTATTAATTGTTAATTGGTAATCAAAATATTTATCCCTTTAAAATAAGAAAACCTGAAAACTGTTGATTAGAAATGAAAATTTAGTGCAAACATTGTTTATCACAAATAACTTCACAGCAGAAAGCTACTCTTGGACCAAAAGCTGGCTAGCATCTATGGCAGTGCCTCTGGTCAGTGCTTGCTCTGTACGGGATACTGATAAACACTTGCTAAATGATGAACAACTCTTAAGTTGGGTACCGCGGTCCACACCTGTAAGCCCTGGAGGATCTATGTTTGGGGCTATCCTGGCCTATGCAGTGATATTCTTTCTCAAAACAACAGTAACAAAAAATTTAAACTGACCTAATGTACAATTTCATATCTAAAGTTTCTGTGGTGGTGCATGCTTATTATCTGTGTTTCACAGAAAGAATGAAGACATGGAGTCAGAAAATAGTCCTATGATCACCAAGAAGGGGACGTGTTTATAAACAGGTTTCTCTCTGAGTTATCTGTCCTCAAGTTATGTAAACAGAAGAAGGGACTAGCATTTGATGAAATGGTAACTTGAGTTAAACTTTAAAGATCTGGCTATTTTATCTTTTAGGAGTTAGCCTAGTATAAACGTGTGTGTGTGTGTGTGTGTGTGTGTGTGTGTGTACAACTATCAGGTAACAAACACATTACTGAAGCTTAAACAACATTAAATGATCAATTGGAGTTTTTGATAATCCACATGACATTAAGAAAGATAGGATGTAGGTTCACAGGAAACCTCTTACCTTACCATAGACAATGACAACTTAGTTACATTTTAAGTCTGGGAGTAGTGGCAATGCCCTTGCAATTGAGTTCACAGTGAACATACTTAAAATCTATTTTTTAAAATAAGAAACAATTACCCAGTGCAAAACCTATTTCATTTGTTCAATACTTGAGACTAGCTATGAGATAGAATCAGATTATGACGAACCCTGTAGGAAAGTCCAACCCATAAACAAACAGTGACACTTAAGGGTAACGAGGAAGTAGAGTAACTAGTCTAGTAACATTCAGAGGCATGCTTCTAATCACAGAGCTCGCCTCCTGACCCAGGAGGTGCTAGGGAGAACTGACTACTGAAAACACAAAACAGCCATCACCAAAGGAGGAAAGAAAATCAAGACAGAAAAAAAAGTACCAAAGGGAAAGAAACAAGAACATACCAAATCTAGAACAGAGATTGCTGGCATAGCAGTCTGCTGCAGGTAATAGAGAAAAGGGAAAAAGAAAGATGAAGTGTAAACAAAAAGGTTAGGTTTAGACCTGTATTCCACCACCAGCATCTTTGTTGTTGTCATGCGTCATCTGGTTTTAGACAACACGATGAAATGTAGAACCACAGACTAACTTCTAGCGTTCAGAAATAGAAAAATGCCCAAATGGCATTAATATTTTGAGTTATCAATAAAAGACATTAAAAAAACAAAATTTTCCTTAGTGTTTATTTCGAGACTAAGATATTAAGTTAAATATATAATTGTTAAAATGAAATTACTTTTCACTAAATATTAAAATTTTCCCAAGTATCATAATCCATACTGAGAGTTTAATATTCAAAGTAGCAGCAATTTTGAAAAACTGTAACAAATCTTCAATAAATATTTCATCCTCACAGAAAAGACTGAGATGTTCCGACACAGTGGCTAACTTTTTACTCCTGCTGGGATCTGCTGTCAAAGGAAATCACTGTAAGGCTAATGCTGTGTGCCCAGCGGCTGTGAACACCAGCTGGGCATCCAGAGTACGGACTGCAGTGTAGGGGAGGGGAATCACCCTCTTTGTGGGTCTTGGTGTGAGGGCAATACAAAGCCACAAATCACTGTATCTGTCCCCAACCAGTCTGCTGGGGAGTCCAGACAAGAGTTACGCCAGCATGTCTGAGAGTCCTGAGCATGTGCACAGTGGAAATTACTCAATGCACCCTTACTGTAGAAGTTCCAGTCATTTGCTCTTTCAGATAAAATAATTGAAGTGGCAGATACAGTTGTTTTTAAGGATGTTTACTAAGGATATTAGAAAAATATTAGTAAAATGATGTAATTGTTAAAATTCACATTCTGGTCTCATTTAAGAAAGCCAGTAACTAAAATGGATTTACTGTGAATCAGAGCACTGTATGTGCTGAGGCATGTCTATACGAGGAAGTCTACATGCAACAGTCTTCAGGAGAAGCTCACTGAGAAGGGACTAATCACACTACTCGACTGTTACAGGATCAACAAAGGTTCAATTGCATCATGTCCTACAAGTACGATCTCCGACCTAGCAGCTACTGTTTTAACATCCACTTTCACGTATACCATAAAAAATTAAATTAAAGAGGAAAAAATAAATCAGAAAAAAATTATATTGATAAAAAGTATCAATAAAACTAACATGACAGACAACAGCACTCTCAGCAAGTTAACATCAAGTGCCAGGTTAGTAACAATAAATTCTTCTAGCAATCATGCCTGATAAGTTGCAAGAATCCAGTTTTCACTCCAAAAACGGTATTTTAAGAAGTTATTTGCATTAGGCTAATTGAAATTTCTATTTGAAACAAAGATAAAAAAATTATTTTTGTAATATGGAGAGATTAAATTCTATCAAAAGTTGTCAGCATCTCCATATTACAACTACAGTTATTGACTTAATAAATGTTTGAAGTATTAACAGTATGGTAATGACTCTGCACTTTAAGACTGATGCCCGGAAGTCCTCCACTCATCATGAGTGTCAGGATCAGAAGCTTTCTGTGTGATGTCCTTGGTGAGTTAGCCAAGCTCAGTGCTTGCACAGAACTCTTACCATTGTGCTCACAGCTGAGCCATGTGATCAGTATACTTTACACAGCTCACCAAATCTCATGGATTTGTCATCTGGCCCTGTGCTCTGACCATGACTGTGAGTGGTCATTACTAAGTACTTGTTTTCTCAACTTAAGCGTAGCAAGGATAACTATGTGTCTGGTAATTAAAACAATGGAGCCCTAGGGACCTGGTTCATCCCTGCAAGGTGTCAGCCAAGAGTGAACAGGAGAAACCAGGGGCCTCTTAACTCTTCCTTGTGATTGTGAAAATAGCTGTCTGCACAGAAACACCCAGAAGATAGCATAGGGAACACAGATACGCACAACCGAAGCCTTTCCCCTTTACCCTGGCTCTCCGCTCAGCCTCCAGACGCTGCATGATCAGCATGGTATCCACGTCATCATCTTCCTCTTCATCATCATCCTCATCTTTCTGCTTGGACTCCTGTAGTCTCTTCTGGAACTGCCACTCCAGCATAAGTTTCCGCAGGCGGTCACTCTCCTCTGCAGTACGGTCCACCTTGTTCTGCAGCTCATGGATCTCCTTGCTTAGCATATCCACAATGTGCATTTGCTGCTGCTTCTCCAGCTTTTCCCTGGCATCTCGTTTCCAGGGGTCTGGAGACAGACTATCCCCAGAGGACAGCTCCTCTTTACTGATGGTTATGTACTGCAGGTCCCTGCGCTCAATCGTGCGGGGCTGCTGCTGGGGCTGCAGCTCCCGAATGACTGTTTCTTGGGGCCTCTGCAGTGTGGAAGGCTTTTCTGGCTTGGCCTGTGTGGCCAAAGGAGAGAAGGAAGCAGGGTTCAGGGACTGAGTACGCATCTGCCCCAACTTCCGCTCCTGCTCCCTGCGCTTCCTCTCTCGCTCCTCCTCCAGGCGGGCCTTCTCTTTTTCATACCACCTCTGATGTTCCTCTCTCTTTTTCCGCTCTGCAGCAGCCACCTGAGCAGACTGGGATCCCGCCTGGTTGGCAGGAGGAGGTGGGAGAGGCAAATCCATTGGAATACTATCAAAATCACTGGTGTAATGGGCCGGTGGTGGAGGAGGAGGTGGAGGGAGGTCTGTTCGAATGGGCTGAGAGACAGCTACAGGGGTGGGCAGCACCGCTGCTGGGGTTTTCCAACGGCCGGGACCACTCTTGGTCAGAGTGGAAGCAGGGGTAACTGACTTGGAGGAATGGTTCAGGTGCTCCTGGCTAGATGTGCTGGATTCCACTGAAGAGCTCTGATTGATCCACATATCACTGTCACACTTGCGATCCATGCCAGGCTCTACTCGATGCCGCTCAAGTTGGTAAACCTTCTCTTCCCGAAGCTCTTCCTGGGAACGGGTAACACGCTGAGAAAGAAAAGAGGAAACTATCATACTTCAGAGACTCACCAGAGATATTACCAAAATTTCATACACGTTTCATCCTCACAGAAGAGACAACAAAAACTGTGGGAATGGGTGTATAATCAGAAGCTGACACTGGTTTATGACTCACTGGCCAAGTAGCCAGCTGTACATCTGTCTACAAAGGAATAAGGAATAAAAAGATTTTTCTATACACTGATGCATGCCATTTCTGGCACTGTCACTCCTGCCTAGCAGGTGAGGATACCGGCTCAGGCTCCAGGGGGACGAGGCACACCTGACTTCCATTCGTGAGTAATCCAGTAAGAGCAACAAAAACTTATGTTATAAAAGTCTAACTATTACAAAGTACGTATTGCATGGATCTATGGCTTGCTACTGAATGAGTTATGAAGCTCGGGACTAGTTTTGCTTTCTCTGATTAAGCCAAGCATGCACGGGAAAGTTCCATTCATCAAAGATGTTCTAGCCTCACTGACACCCATGAAAAAAGGCAACAGCATACTTTAGTGGGCATAAAGCCTTTTGAGTTTATGAGGAAAGAGATTCAAATAAGTATTCCCTTCCCCTAGAAGGCTACAATGGAGCCTGAGAAGTGGCATGTACAGAAGTGCTGTGTCCTGATAAAGATGACCACTATGCATGTACAGAAGTGCTGTGTCCTGATAAAGATGACCACTATGGGATGTGAATCAATTACTCTTACCCCACCTGGATAGTGAACATTAGTTGAAGATGGAAACCTAAAAAATAAACTATTTCTTTTCCTTTAATAAAAAATGAATTACCATTTCAAAAAGCAATAGCTATAACAGGAAGTTTAACATTTACTCCCAATATATAGGTATAGCTTAACTTTGAGCAGGTTCCTCATCAAGGTGGCACACAATCTACAAACCACACAAAACCATCATGAAGTTATGTGGAACAGAGAACTGGCCCTGCTATAAACCCAGCTCTGCACCTTCTGTCTAGTACATTACTGGTTATTACTAGAAAAGACATGGTATGGGCAGAGGAGGAAGCCATCTAAGACTTAGAAAACCTAGCTGCTAACAGTCATGAGGTCCACTTAGGAGAAGGGAGATGAGACAGGAAACACAGCAGAGGATCATTTTTTGCCTGAACAAAGTTTCTCCTTACCTTTGCAGTCTCCTGTGAGCACAGCCCTTCCTACTCTCTGTCTATTTCTCTCATCCTGTAAGACTCAGCTCAATACCTGTGTCTTCTGTGACGGCGTTTAGGAGGAATAACTGTTTTCAGGATCCTACACCATTTACTTTCCACGACACATATCTGTTTTATGTGTCACAGACAGGTTTTCTCTTAGAAGCACACTGCTGGTTTCTTCTCCCAGTCATATCTGATAGTGTTTCCCAGACTAAAGCCCTAGACAGACATCTCTATCTTTAGTGATTTGGACAGAAGTCCACACTCCTTAGCCAGCACTCACAACACTTCTAATGAGCTGCTGGCCTTCAGGCTCCAGCCTTGCCTTCCAATGTCCAGACCTTCTCCTTCAGCCAGAAAGCCAAAGCCAGAGAAGACTCCAAGCAAGCACCAGGGATGGAATCCAGAGAGGCTAGATTCTTTCCCAGCTGACACTCCTAGTGATACCCACCTTTTCAGCACCCTAAGTCCACTGCATGTTTTCTGTAGGCCTCATTTCTCAGTTCTACCTCAAGATACATGGACAGAGACAGAATCAAGTGCCAGCGATGCCAGCCACTAGATTTCGGCTTTCACTCCTAGAATTACTAAAAGCCTTGCCTTCAATGCTCTAACTTAATTGTAACCTAATTGCCAACATTTCATTAACCTAACATTACACAGAACTTGTTTAAGGTGTTCTGTATTTGAGCCTACATTTTTTTTTGCCTTAGACTTAAAAACACACATACAGAAATAAGAAGACAACCTAGCAATTTGAAGTTACCAATTGTGTCTCAAAACTCAAGCACTCTTGGGCTGGCAAGAGGGTGGATGCTGTCAAAATCTGATGATCTAGTCTGATTCCAGGAACCCATATCACTAAAGGTGACAACTGATTTTTGCAGGCTGTCCTCTGACCTCTGTTCCTGTGCCCCATATACTCACACAAAATAAATACAAATAAATATTTTTAAAGAAAAACACAGTCTTTATCTTGCCAAACTAGTCTATCACACTCCTCTAAGAGAAGAGAAACACTGTAAGCCCCTTATCCTAACCTGGATTGCAATACTGGAATGATTATTTTCTGTGTGCACATGTGGCTTTTCCTCATAATTTGGCCACTGGTTCTGAGGAGGAGCCATCCGATCCTGCGACTTTGAAGCTGGAAAGGTAAAATACTCTCTGGTGTATGTCTGAGTAGGGATAGGATAGGCTTCAGGTCTAGGTGGAGGAGTCTGCTCCTGTAAAATGTAAGAAAATAAAAAGAGATGGTTAAAACTGCATAAAAGGCTAACTTTATACTCAGGGATCTGTTTTACAATCTTTTTAAGAAGCATATATGGTGTGTGTGGGGGGGGTGGGGAGTTGACACACCAAGGGGAGCTTCTCCGTCTCAAAAAGTGGGGATGGGGGAGGACTTGCATGAGGGGGTACTGGAAGGAGAGGAAGAGCTAATATTGGATTTTAAAGGTAAAATATAAATAAATGTTGTTGAAAAAATATATACATTAAATGCTATGCTAAACATTGAAAATTTGACCCTATGCTTTGAATTAGAAACATTTTAATTTTTCCAGATTTACTCATTTAAACTAATTCTTATTTTCTCTAGATTTATTAACTTAATTTATTTGATTAGTATAATAAAAATAAAAAATAAATGAACAAAATTCAGGAATGATAGTTAATGTACTTCATTGAGAATTGTATCAGACAACTCAGATATTTCACAAGTAAGAAAGTGTTCCAGCTTATCTCAGACCTCAGTGCAGAGGTTTCCAGTGGAGACAGATGTTATCTTAGCTGCTGTTCCAGATGTATAAGGACTCTTCCCTCCAGGGCTAGGAGGCTGATCTGTTGGAAACAGGCAAAAAGTCCCCCCCAAGTTTCACATTAAATAACAAGGAAAATATACCTAACAACATTCCATCAAAGGCAGTGCCGTGTTATATGCATTATCACACTGCTGGCAGAATATCTAGCACAGAGCTAGAGACAAAGATGTACCAGAACCTGGCTTCCTGCACCCCTACAAGTCTCCTGCCACCACAGCCCAGGAAAAGGACTTTCTCCAGGACCAGGACCTCGCTGACATCTGTGGTGGAGACACGAGAGTAAATATGTGAAGCCTTTTGGAGGTTGGGGGTCTCTATTCAATTCGCTCCATCCTCACTTCTTTGTTAGCAACTCTTTTAAGTGTAAAAATGGCCTCCAATAAGTTGGCAACCTGATACCCTTTTACAGAGACATTAACAATGCATTTTGACCTATAATGTCCATTGAGCCAAGGGTTTCCCAAATAAAATCCAAATGCGGAAGTATTATGATACCTCTATGAAAACTCTAGCTAGGCAAGAGACACAAACGACAATGATCAAAGTACACCTTGCCCCGGCTTCTGGCAGTGCCAAGGTGACTGAGAGGCTGACTGCTCTTACTTGCCACATTGGGGCTGGACCGGTGGTCTGGTCTGCTCTTCACCAGCCTGTCGTCACCCGGCAGCTTCTTCGGCTCACTGTACTCTGTCCAAGGCATCTGAGGACTCTCTGGGGAGCCGTTTTGAGCTGAATTATTATAGAGCTCAAAGCCTTCACTCTTTGGTCTGGGTTTACCTGAGCCACGACGATCTGAAACTGAAACCAAAGCAGATTCATTCCTTCTCTCTCCGTCACTGGGTCTCAGAGTTGAAAAGCTTCAAAGAATGCATCTGAAATTCTTCTATTTCATATTTTCTTAGTATATAACAAAGTGATTTTCATATGCATTCCTTCAATACTTTAAAAAACAAAAGCAAGCAAGCAGAGCAAACCAAAACCCAGGGTCTCACTAGATAGACAGGGCTGGTCGGGAATTCACTACATAGGCCAGGCTACCCCAAACTCACAGAAATCTGCATCCTTCGTGCTGCCATTAAAAGTACATGCCAGCACAAATAGCTTTATGTAAACATTTTCAAAAGCTTTTAAATATACTGTCTAGAAAAATTTTCATTTAATTGGTATGTATCTATGGGGAAAATTGATATTATTTTCTCATCAACTGAACTGTAATTTGTAAATAACAAGGTACTTTATTTGAAGTAATTTTTATAAAGCTCTCAAAGGTAACTACACTTCTCTCACTTGATAACACACATATTAATAAACATCAAAGTGAAGGCATCACAGGCTGCTGTCACCTAGTGTGATTATCCACTCCTGTCCACAGTTCATTCTTTCTGTCTGCTCACCTGGGTCTCATTCATTACCCACTTCCCTCTTTGGGCTTCTAAATGTTGGTCTGCTTTGACATGCAAACACATGGTCTTGCCACTATACTTTGGTGTTTCAGTGCTTTAGTAAACAGGGGATTCTAGGCTGTCAGACACTTACTGTTGTTGATACTGTAGCTACAAAGCTCAGGTGATACGGTGTGCAGGATACAAAGCTGACTCAGGAGAAGAGGGCTCACAAGACTACACTGAACAGACTGTGAATACATCTAGCCAACCATATCATTAGGGATGATCCGAATCATGACCCAGCAGTATTTCTCTGCATTCTGTGGTCATTCTCGACTAACTTCTTCCTTGAAGGGCTCGGCAACAGCTGTAGTAGTAGTTACTACATAGGGCTTTTGGTGACTCTTTTTAAAAATAATTTATTTTATGTGTATGAATGTTTTGCCTGCACATATACACGTGCATGCTTGACTGGTGTCCAAAGAAGTTAGAAGAGGGCACTGAATCCCCTGAAACTGGAATTGCACACAGTTGTTAGCTAACATGGGTGCTAAGTAGCACTGAACCATCTTTCCACCCCCAGCTTTTGATAACTTTTAAGAAAAGTCACATCCCAGTATGGAATCAGTATAGGAGGGCCACCCTGGATTGAGTCACTAGTTCTTACTTCTCTGCATCATGGGGGATGGCTGGTTAAGGAGGGTGGCCAGGCCGTGGTAAATGGCACCTTGCTTTGCAACTTCCAGTGTCACCACAGAACTGGTTCTTGTCATGAGTTCTGCTGCCCTAGGAAGAAAATATATAGTGTAAGAAAACTGAGTGCTCACTGCCACACAACAGTCTGCGTTCAGCACTCTTTGTGCTTATGTTCCTCAGCCTGACTGCTCTTTAGGGAAATAAGCCTAGCTTTCAGAAAGATTATGTCCTGTCCACATCACTTTTGAAAGTTAATTCTAAAAACATGTAAATATATCCTATGCTATAACATTAATATTAAGATATATTTAAAGATTTTTCAAGTTCAGAGTATAGGTGCACATATTTATATAATTACTTAAAGAAATACTCTATACTAAAATACACACTTATGACTGTACAGAAAATGAGATTCATGCGCCCTAAAAATCAGGATTATTGATGAGGGTGAGTAAGCACAAAGAGCTTTTGCAGCATTACTTTTTAAATCCAAATTTCAAAATTAAATGCAAAATATCAATTCAATACACTAAGACTAACCAATAAGTTTAAACTTTATACAAACCAATTAGTCATACCTTTCCTGAGAAAGTCCAACCAGACTTCGTCCATCCACACTGAGGAGTTGGTCACCAGCAGCTAGTCGTCCATCCTGAGCCACCAGAAGGATGCAAGTGTAGAGAAAGGAAAAAAGAGGCAGTGTCAATGCACAGCAGAGTTCCCCACACCACACAGTCAGTGCACACCAGCATTCCTCACACCAC